TGCAGGAATTGGAGGGGGGGGGGAGAGGAGAAAGAACTTGCAACCCCGTCGGTCGATTATATATACTTTAAAAAACACCTTCGGAGGCATGCATCCGAATTGCAAACCAGCTCTTTCTCCCCAGCATGCAGTTGGAAGATTTACAAAAAAAAAATTAAAAGAAGAAATTGCAACACAGCTACCTTGTTTTCTGTCCATGGTGATTTCCCAGAAGCGAGAGAACAGCGAGCGGCACGCCTCGCAAGCCTGCTTCTCTTCTCTTCTCTCGCCCCCCCCCCACCCCGCAAGCGAAGGGAAACCCGGCGGGGGGGGGAAATCGCTGCAAAAGCGGGCGCCTTTCAGACGGCCCCGGCGGAATGCACGGATTGCTGCGGACTAGAATCTTGAGAAATGCGCCTCTCCTGCAGCCCCCGCCGGGCTCGTCCTCGCGTAGCCAAAAAAAGACAGAAGGTAAAGAGAAATTAAGAGGATCCCGGGTTTCCCGAACAGCAAGCAAGCAAGAGAGGAAGGACGGAAGGAAAGAAAAGGGGTGAAGGGGAGGGCGGCTTCGACAGCAGCCCTTCTTGCTGCGGGGTAGGAAAAGCGCAGCGCCTTCCTTGCCAGGCGGCAGCTGAGGTTGCCCCGGCGTCGGCCCGCTCCGATTACACACGAAACTGCACAAGTTGTAAAGGGGGGGGGGGGGAACCCTGGAAAAAAAAACTGCAGGCGGTGACGTCAAACAGGAAACTGGACCCGGGCCAAAAAGGGAGGCCCGGGCAGCTTGCGAGGGAGGGGGAAGAGGAGGAGGAAGGAGGAAAGCCCCACCCACCGCGGGGCGGAGTCAAGCCCGGGACGGCCGAAAAGGGGCCGCCCCTAAGAGACTGGCTCTGGGCGGCGAAGCAAATTTCAGATTAAAGAATCTCCCCCGCCGCCCAGGTGTCTACGGCGCCGATTCAAATGGCAACTGTTTTAGATATTTGAAAGCTTTCGTGGAGGCTTTCCGACAGACTAGCCGTCATGGTTGTGTTTATACATTTGAAGACAAAATGTAAAATAAAATAAAGAGCCCCCAGGTGGATGGCACTTTTGTCGGTGCAAAAGGAAATTCAGGTAATTAACTACTTTTCCCGGTAGGGATGCCAGCTCTGGGGTACGAAAAATCCGGAGATTGGGGGGAGCTGGGGCCTGAGGAGGGTGGGGTTTG